GTTAGAGATATATGTATATGTACATATATATTAAATCTAATTATTCACATCGTGCAATGGGATTTAGTATGATCGACAGTCTCGAGGGACATCTCAGATTTGAAGGGCTTACATATATGCATGTGTATGTATATATTCAGCTGACGTGTATATATATGAAGCAATGGAGGATGCAATGGTGGTAATTAATCAGGAGCGTGTGCATCCGTGTCCGAAAGCCCTCTACTCGTACTCGGGCACGTTGGACGTTCAGCCAAGCGGAAACCACTCAAATTAATTTCAAGTCAAAGCATATTCTTCGATTTGACGTTCAGTGATGTTCGTTCTGAAACTCTGGTTCGAAACTATCTTCGGCCTCGACATCCAATCAGTCCTTTTCTCCCAATACCCAATACCCAATATATATACCTACACATCTCCAAAAGATAAAAATGGACAAGTTGCAATGAGGGTAACAACCCTCAATTCCATTTCTCTTATATATATTTCGTTTAGTATACAATGCTTCTCCTTACGGTTGGTTACCCCATGACTGACAGCCCTGAGTTTTTTGGTAACACACTTGTGAACGCCAATGTTCAACTTTCATGTTAAATTCTCCACCACCCTCACTCGGGCTCAATGGATAGTTTTATTTGTACTCGTAATGTTTATACGTATATGAATTTATATGTATGTACACGCATTGAGAGCAAGCGCTAGTGAAAATTCTCGGTGTCAGTATTGTTACGCTTTCACGTTGTAAAAACTTGTGACATGTCAATGACAAGCGGCTGAAACAAGTGGTATTGTTGAATCACTGTTGAATTTCATCATCTTCCAATTAAATTATTTAATAATTTATAAAAATTTACAAGTTAGTTTATAAAGTTTTTATCAGATCTTCAAATTTTGAGGTCCTTTAGGACCTTCTTATAAGAAGTTATCCTGAATTGATTCGATAGATTTTTAGAAATTTCAAAAATACGATTTTTAGGTGATCTACAATTTGGTGAAACCCTTTAAAATGCTGCAAGCCGCATTTTGATTAATCAAGCTGTTCCAAAGTAATGAAACGATACTGAGTTTCTCGGCTAAAGAGGGAAGCCCGTATGCACTTTTAGATCCCCGAATTCTGATAACTGGTATTTGCATATTTTTTGCTGAGGATTACAAAAAACTAAGATATTTTGCTCGCCGATGGTAAATTTAATTGTTTAAACCGCTATAACTTAGGAACGGCTGATTTCAACTATAATTTGATTGAAATTACGAAATTTCTTTTCATTCTTGTGATCTACAGGTCTTTCAGAACTTTTAGACCCCTGACATGATATTGAAATCAGCAGACACAGACATCTAACTATTTTTTTTTTATTTTTACAAAAAATCAATTATGATAAAAATATCTTTTCATTTGGACTTATTATTATTCAAGAATACCGCAAACGTTATTAATGATTGAATTTTCAATTAAGCTACAAGATTCTAACTTTTGAAATTTTTTAATATCGATGATTTATGAATAATATTGATACCGATAAACTTAGGATAGACTTGATAGACCCCATGATATAAACAGAACAAATTATAAAATGTAAATATTCGGAGGAAAATAAAACGAACGGAAAAGTATCGGTAAACATTCTCTGAAGCTTTGATTTTTATGCCAATTTAGCTCTGACCATTTATATCTCAAGCCTTTACTTGTTTTACTTTACCTACTGAAAAATAGTGTGTGTTCAACGGACGAAATATTTTCGCAGTGCCCTCTCCCCCTCTCACCACGTACTGTCAGCGATTCAATTCCAATGGTACACGAGGCATGAAATAAGTGTACACAAATTCCCCTTGCTTCGCTCTGCTCTAACATGTCCGCCTACCACCCCCTGGCTCACGTAGATACTGTATTTTTCCACATTACCACAACAGCGAACGGATTCCACCGTCAAATAACATACACATACACTGAAAATAGATACGCGAATAGGGGATGAAAAAGTAAGCGCGAATTACGTGCTCGAAACTCAATTCGTTGCATACACATGCTCTTATTCTTTTTTTACTTTCATTGTTATTATTACTTGCGTTGTTATTATTATTTTCAACCCATCCGAAGAGGTCTGATTCACGGTGAAGAGGAACTAATGGCAGAAGGTAGCGCACCGGTGATAAAAATCTCTATTCCACGTTCGTCGTTATAAAACTATTAAGATATAATCTTAGCGACACATTGCTTCATACCGAAACACACCGATGGCATTTTTATTTTCGCTAATATTAACGAAACAATTCAATTATTTTTTAAAATAAATTTTTTATTGAAACTACAAGTCATTAATAATTAAAAAAAAAAAAACAATTTTGTCAAGCCAACAATATTTTGTATTTAATAAAAAATTTTCCCTCGTAAATCGACATCAGGGAAACAAAATGAATTAACAAGAACTAAAGACTGAGGGTGGCAAAATCCACAAAAAAAAATCCCTTGGCTTAATAACGAGCAATTATTTATTTCTTTTGATTTCTCGGCTACCTAACCAAAGAGCCAAGCCTTGTAAAAAAATTTTATCTGGGTATATTTGTTCATAATGAAGTAACGAATTTACCTAGAGGGTACAGTGTTACAGACTTTAAGAAGATACACGTCCAAGTTAAGTCTTGAGTGTATTCCTTGGTCGCTGTGGGGACTTAATTATCTAATTAATTAACCTCAATCAGAACGATGAGTAATTTCTCGGTTGGATGGCGCCTTTGCTTTCTCTTGTCTCTTCATATATTTGTATATACATATACATGTATAGGTAGATTGTACCAGAAGAACGAGGAAAGAAAGAGGAGAATGAAGACATGGCAGAAGCAAGAAAGCTGATTGGAAGGACAGAGTAGTATGAGACGCCGTCGCGAGAGGACGCTTTGTGTACAGGAGACTTAGACTCGTTCTTGTCACACCGTGACTTAAACTTGAAGCTTCCGAGAGGAATAAAAGGTGGATGAGAAGTGAGCAAGGGGGAGAAAGGGGGTTGAATTACGGTTGGCTACACGGCAAATCGATTATGTCTCCCGATGCCAACATTACCGAGTTCTGCGGCTGCTTCTCAGCCTCTACTCGGTATTATATCTGTGTACAGATACTCTCAGCTTGAGTATTGTTTTCTCTCTCGCGGCTTGTTCTGCTGGTACAGGATCATCGACCGTACTCTTATCTCCTGTCTCCACTTCGAAGAGCCAACTTTTCAAATCCTCCGTTTCCAGGCTGAATTTAAACGCTTTATCTGACGTGTCTCTTCGCATTCACTGTGTTAATTGATGAGAACTTGTTATTAGTGAAAATAAATTATTTTTTTTACTTCGATAAGTAATTACTAATGACATCTATAAGTGATTTATTGAACTGTAATCACGGAAAATAATTTAGTAATTTGTTGGTATATTATTTTAGGTTGAAAATAATATGGATTGACTTTTATAGACCGGAATATTATTGTTTAAATTATTTTATCTATCCATGAAAAAAATTTAACTTATGAAAAATACTTATAAAAAAATTACAAACAAAAATTTGAGACGCTAATTAATATTAATAAAATAAATATATAAAGATAAAAGTCAATCTCAACTTTATTTATTTTGAACTGAAAGTTTTAAGGGTGAAAATAAATTACAGCGGTAGTAGTTATATATATATATATATATATATATATATATATATATATATATATATATACCTGTATAGTAATAGAATCTAGTCCCCTCATATATTAGCATTCGATCAAATAAACAGAGATTAGCACATGAAAGGTCTTTATAAGCTTTTTATAAATACAGCGATCGATAATGACATAATAGGCCCAAGTACCTCAGCATGTGTGAGTATTACCGAACCGAGACTATTGATATATATGTATGTGATGAAATATAAATATAACATTTATATAAGAGATAGAAGATCTCTGATGCGGCACTTGTCATTTCCCATGACGCCTCACGGCTCAGCTTGACTAACTAAATACGAATAAGTTAGCCAAACAGACCTCAAGCTAGGGTTAAACGTAGTTTAATGTCTCCCTACAGATGTATAATAAGAGACTAAAGTACAGTGTACCCAAAACAAACAGTAAAATCAACTGTAAAAACAATTAAATAATTCTGTCGCTGAAAATTTATTGTGTCAAGCCAGAGTTGTTTATTAAAAACACGTTACGGTAGGATTAGATGTTAAAGACTACTTTTACTATTTTTACTGTTAATCCCTCTTCAGTTCAAGTGTGATAATTTTTTTGGGGAGTTACGGTCATTTTTTAAGAAAGATAGGAATTTTAAAAATAAAAATTATAAATTTTGGGGAACAGTTTTTAGTTAAAGGGTTGACGTGAAGTTTTTTGACAGAGGGGATTTCTATAGACGGAGAATTTCGATAACGGACCCTAAGGCCACGCTATGAATACGAGATTAAACGTCGTTAAATTATTAACTTTCATAGATAGTAATTACGGCAAGGAAAATTATTACATCTTTGTATGAATGATTAAAAACATGTATGAGAATGAGAATTGCTTTATGAGACCTTCTTGCGCGTGATTTGAATCCTTTATCTCATTATTTTAAAGAATTGAGTATTTTCGTGTACCTGAAGTTCAAAACGTTAAATTAAAGTAATTGCCTACTCTCAAATTTACCAGAAGGTCAAAGAAGAAGTTACTGATTTAAATTCGATTGAAGTCTGAAGAATTTGCTATTTGATAAAATTGTTATTAAAAAATTTAATTCTATTGAAATAAAAAACAAATTGAAATTTAAATTGAAGTTGAACTCTGATTAAATAAAAAAAACTAAAAACATTAGCGGCCAAATTCAGAGCAATAGCTGTCGCAATGTCACAAACTCATTTACTGTTTAATTAAAAATTTTTGTTATAGTAATTAAATGATAGAAGCACAAACAGAATTTAACGAGAGTATAAATAATATTGCGCACACTTCAGAGTAATTTATAAACGCTAATGGATTGTCGAGTTCATCATGTACTCGCAAAGGCAATATTATTTTTCTCGGCTGGCCAGGTCGCATCCAATACTCAAATTCATTAACGTTTATGATCGTCAGGTTAGTCCATTTTATTCCGTCACAGAGATCATCCGTTTTGATAGACTAATCTGTTTTATCTTTTAAAGCAACATATTTATATTTATATATTTTTTTTTCACTTTCTATCCATCTACTTTTTAATGTCATACAATTCTTTCAGTCGTTTATACGTGAATATATTTTGGATAACATTTTTATTTGCGTTTTTGCATATATATTTTTCTACGTTACTCTTTGGTACGCCAATCGGGTAAGATATAATAAAACATTAATGCAAAAAATATTAATTTAAGTCTTGACACGTTTTTTTTATGGGGTAGGTTATGAAGAGAATTGAAAAATCAAATCAAGAAATGCTGACTACTGTTGAAAAAAATAGAAATGTAAGTGGTAAAATAAATATTAGTCAGAATTTTTACAGCAAGTCCAAAAGGTCTGGATCAATTTTTTATAATTTAAAAATTTTTGTGACAGTTTAAAAAGTTTTCAGCTTTAAAATTTTTATTCTATCATTATTTTTTTGAACTAAAATATATTTTTTAAAATATAACACAAATTAACGATTTCAAAAATTTTAGTTAGTAGCATGGATAATTTTAAAGATTCTATTCTTGTCTTAATTATTGAGTTTATAAAAATTTATAATTTTCATTTAATTTCAATATTTTTTAATAATTGTTATTTTTCCAAATAAAATTTTAATTTGCAGCGAAAAAAATTTTAATAGTTCCGAGATCAATGTTTTCAATATAAAAAGTATTTTTTACACCGATAGTAGTTGATAGGAATGAATGAATAATTGAAAATTTATTCTAAAAAAGTATATTGAATAATTTAAACTGACCCCGATCACGTATTTAAATTTACCATCTACTTTCTTTGATTGTAACAATAGTTTAACGAACGAGCGATTAACATTTCTGTTATAAAATTTATAATTTCCAATATATCGACGTTAAATTTAAGAATTTAATCTCGAGAAATCAAAAATGTTTACTTATAAAAAATTGAGAATAATTTACAAGTATGAATGAATTAATGAAACGTAATTGAGATATTTTCAAATTGAGAGATAAAAAATTTTTCTTATTTTATTCATGTAATAAAGTTTCTATAATTGATCCTTTTACAGCGAGTTCTATTAACTACAATGAAAATTTATAACCGTAATAAAATTTGAACATGATACAATTATTTATTATAGAAATTAGCGGATGTGGTTGCTTTGAAAAATAAACGACAAGAGTACGAAGAAGTAGTAATGAAAGCCGTGAGTATAGTAAAGATAGAAATGAATTTAATTTAAATAAAATAAATTGTTTTCGTTAACCGAAAAATAAAAAATTGCAGAAAGGAGCACAGAGAATCACGGCACGGCATTTAGAAAACGAAGTATGCATATCAAACAATAAATAAAAGTATATATGTATTATTTATCAGTTAATTTAAATGGATGACTGATTGTTGCAGATAAAGAAGATAAATTACGAATTGATGATGACGACCGACAAGTTGGAGGCTTTGGAGAGAATTCTACAGAAAGTAAATGTTCAAAATATGGCTTGTGTCGGTTTTTCAAAACAAAAATTGTTATAAAATATTAGATGAATTTCAGCGTACAACTGGTGGAAAATCGCGCAACAAGGTCCTCGAGTTTACACAGCAGGAAGGTGAATGCACGGAAGGTTCGAACTTTGTCACAGACTCGCTTGAAAATGTCAAGGTATCCGTTATAATTATTATTCATTTTAATAATTAATTTTATGCGCTTATAGTATGGTCATTTGCATTCTAACAAAATGACTATCGGTTTTACTGCATTGATAATCTAATAATAACAATACACTGTAAAAGATTTTCGGAATGAATGACTTTTAATTGATTTGATTCTTCCGGAATAATATTCATTTCAAAAAATGTTTTATTCATTTTCTTAATAAAAACAACTCTAAAGCGTGAATTCTTTGATTTTTTATTCAATAACAATTTAAAAATGCATATTTAGAGATTTAAAAAATTAATATAATTTTTTTTCTTAGTTTGATACAATAAATTAGTTTTAATTTAAAAAAAAAATTGCATCAACTTTTTTTTTATTTTCAGTTTTTACAAGTAGCAATTCTCAATAAATTCTTCCGATAATTATTATTGATTTGTTAAAAAATAATAAACCATGCCATATGTCAGTTGATTTCGCTAAAATTAACGCAATTATCTTATTTAATTGAACGTAATAGTCTTATACATTTATAATTTTTTATTTTTATATTGTGAAAATTCACTCCTTATTTTTTGTAGTGTAGAAATAATAATAATAATAATGATAATAATAATAATAATATTGATAATAATATAAGATTATGGAACCGTCATTCCCGCCAACAACTCCTCCGCCACGGAAATACGGTATCTTTGTCCCTCGACCGATTAAGGGACGCAGTTCACCTCCGAGAATCGGATTCAAGTAATATTGCATCTGCTGAAGTTTCTTCTGACTCATCATCACATGACAGTAAGTTTAATTTTTTGATTTTCAATATTAAAAAAATAAAAGTGGACTTTTGACATTTTCGCTTATAAAAGATCAAAACAAAAAAAGGTTTAGATTTTTTAATTGAACTTAAAAAAGTTTATGTATTATCAAGACTTAAAATTAAAAAAATATATTATCATAAAATTCTTAGGTATTTTTAAAAAATTATAAATTTGACTTGTATGTAAAAAACAATGGACCTTGTTAAGTCATTGATAATTTTTTTTTTTTTGTAAAATAACAGTTCATAAAACTTCTGCCGAGAAAAAATGTCTCCTTGAAATAAGGAACATAAATTTGAATATATTATATTATTAAAATTGTATATAGATATTTAAAGACGTCCAGTCTAGACTTCGTGAGAGACGACTATTCGTATAAATCAACGATAACACATTCCTTTCATTATGTGTTTATAAATTTAAAAATATAAATATAAACACAAACACGAACATTAATTCTCTGATTTATTTAGATCCACGCGACAAAGTAAGGATATCAAAACTAGTGGAGAAAAAAAAGATCCCGTTGGACTTGACATCGCGAGTTGCTAAATCATTATTGGCACCGATATTTCGTGGGACGAGGACCATTAAATCTTTATTCTAGCTGATTTACACTTTAATAAATTATAATGCTAATAAAAGAAATTATAACAGTTATAATATAGAAATTACAAATTTAAATGAGCGATTTATTATTCAAATGACATTGTTTGGTGAATGTTAATCGATAAATGAGTTATCTATGCATAACGCTCGGGATTTTTTTAAATACATCTACGTCCTTGAATGCAGAGTGTAAAATGCGCGAAAATAAGTAATTCAATCGTATTGAATCGTGATTGAATCTTACGTAATTAAATAAGTAAACTCGTGTTTATGTTGTATCAAATTACTTGCAATGCCATTTTCCAGATAATTCTACATTTTATCATTAAATTAATATTTTTTGTTAAATGGAAAATTTTTTTAATAAAAATTATTATCCAAAATTGCACATGATATTTGAAAAAATATTTATACACGTGTAGACTATTTGCTGTTCATAATTTTTTTTTTAATTTTATAACATTTTAATTTTAATGCAATATACACTTTTATAATTGAAAGTGTACCCGTTTTTTTTTTTTTTTTTTTTTCATTAAAATTGAAGCATTCATTCGTTTTTATCACAATTAAGTAATCAAATTCACTAAAATTTCTAAATAACTAATCAAAAGCCCAGAAAATGACAACAATGAAAGCGTAACACTTATTTTGTAATGAAAGATAAAAAAGTAAGTATTTAAGATTTCATAATATTTTGAAAAACTAATTCTGATGTTAAAATTATTATGAATACTCGCACCTAAAATTAAAAATCGATAATAAATACATCAAAATCTTAATGACTTTAATTATTAATTTTTTTTTGTATTCATTGATAATAAAAAATTCATTTGATCCGAGACAAAAACTTGAACCAATAAAATCATTTTGAAGAATTTTATAGTCTTGAATAATTATTAAATTTCACGGTCATCTGGTTCCTTTTCAATAAAAATCTTATATTTAACATTTTAGTATACGACTGTTTTCATTATTTTATTTTCAATGAAATTTAAGAAAAAAAAAAGTATATATGATAATTAAAAAAAAAATTCTAAATATAATTTCTATGACTTGAAATATTGCGAATTGTGAAATTTGATACTAAATTTTGATGCTTGAATTAATTTCATAAAAATGATTTCTTTGCAAGATTTTTTCCTTTAAATAAAGTTAATTTTCCATCCGATACTAATAAAACAGTAATTTTCCACTTCAAGCAGTCAAGTGTAAGAAGAAATGAATAAATGCGAAAACAAGTAAAGTCCTCTCTGCCGGTAAAAGATTGAACTTTCACTGTGCAGGTATGAATCGAGATCCAAGATTGAGAGTTTAAATTAATAATAACTAAACTACAGCTATCTATATAATTCTGGCACGATACCACCACTAGATTAGTCTCTGTGCCTTGCAGTAAGTTCTCAGTGGCTTAAACTTTTAGCTCATTCGCAGTTAATCCAGTGAACCGGATTGACGTTCACCAGTTCACTAGTTTACTATAGTTACGCGCATGTTTCCTGTTTACTGTTATTATATTAACAAATGTTAAGCTAACTCTGTTTTTATTTTTGTTCGCGTGTGGCTTGAATAATCTATCGCTTACGGATTAATGGGTGTCCTCTGGCCATAAACAAGTAAGTGAATAGATAAAGCAATTAAGTGAATCTTTGGTATTATAATTCAAATATCGTATTTCTGGAATAATAAGGAATAATTATTAAATAAATCGCGAATTATAATGAACTTGATTTTTTTTTTAGTTATGTAAGTGTTAATTCGTAATGCTGAGGTATAAGTCTTTTACGTCATAACTCGGTGTGATTCGTAGCAGCTTCTTCTGATTTTGTCGCTTTATGAAATACGGCATCGAGTGTCTAATTATAAACACGTTTATTGAGATTATTTTATGTTTTTTGAGTAAAGTATGCGAAATCATAAATTTATCCATTACTTATAATATACATAAAAATTTTTCTGTAAATTATTAAGCATTAATTATCAAGTTTGTTAAAAATTTTTGGCAAAAAAAAATAATTTTAATCCAAAATAATTTAGTGGTAAAATTTGGAGAATGCTTTATTTAAAATGAAATTAAATTTTGTTCTTATGGAAATTAAAATTAAAATTAAGCCCTTTCTTTTGAATTTTTTTAAAGACAATGTTGTTGTTTTTCAAAAAAAATTTTAATTAAATTTTTGTATTGAAAAAAATTTTTTTTTCAAAATAAATGTTGATCATAAAAGATTATTTTGATTAATTTGATAAATAACTTTTATTTTAAATAAAACAATAAACAAAAAATGAAAAAAAAGGCATCGCTATTCAACAATCATTTCAAACAAAGAGTGGGAGCAAGAAGAAAGTGAGAGTTTAGCATTGCCTTGTAAGTTAAATTCTTGTATTCAGTTGTGAGCGAACGAGTTTTGCGAACGTACTAAATTCGCTTGTATTACCTTGTTTGTTATTTTGAATTTATACTCTCATCACTGCCATTATCGTAAATATAATAACGTATCAAACTATTAATTTCTCATTCAATAAAATTAAATTACATTATAATCAAAATTTACAACTTTTTAATGAATAAAATACTCGCATTAGTTTACTGATTTAATACCCAAAATAAAGAAATCAAATGTGAAAGATTATTGAAAAAAAAAAAAATAAGAAGTAAGTTATTTATTGATATAAATGTAGTTGTAATTGTTGAAGGTGATTATCGAAGGCCTTGGTGATCTTGGAATAAGCAACAATGGTCGTAGACACCGGAACAGTGAGATTAGTTATATTTATTGGAATGTTCCTAGTATTCGCTGGGGATTATACTAGTCTCATAAATTCTGTTTTTGGCAATGGAATGGAACGTGCTAACTCGTCTATAAGGTTGCAAACTTCGAGCTCTAACACTGAACGTGATTCGTTGATTACTGACGGTAAAAAATTAAATGATGACAATGGTAAGAATCATTTGCAATTATAAACTTATTGCCATATTTGAATATAATCAATTAAGAGTAAAATAAAGTAGAATTTTTTGAATTAGTTATGCTAGAAAACAAATTTTTCCAAAAATTAGCATGAAAATTCTTTCATCATTTTTATTTTACGTTTATAAATTTTTTCACATATTTAGATCAAAGTTGACAAATGTCTTTTTTTTTTTTTATCTTGATAAATTATAACTTAAATTTTATATTTTTTACAGTAAAAAATAAGAAGTCTTGTCTATTAATATCACAAAATATTAAATTTTTACAACTGATCCAAATTATAAAAATTATAATTAACTTATTAAAATAATAAAAATTTATCAAATTTTGAATTTTAAATTCAAAATCCAATAATATAATTAGTAATTAATTTATTTTTCTTTTATTTATTTTGATTACGATTCAGTTCGATTTACAATTAAATATCGCAAAAAATTTTACTTTTTTCCTACTTCCAAAAGCACATTACTAATACATATATATTTCAAACAGAAATGTCACGTAAAGAACAAATAATGACGACAATAAAAACCGCATGTCTGCCAAAACTTATTTGCGAGTTAACGTCATCGTCGCATCAAGTGCAATTAAGTGAGATGGAAAAATCACTCCTTAATTTAATCAGGTAATCCTCATTTTAATAAAATAATCAAAAACATTCTTTCATTTACTTCACACAATGCAAATTTTACGATGTAATAGCCAAAGCTTCTAAACTCACTTATCATATCATTTTAACGATCTGAACGTAAAACTTCCTACTATACTAAAAGCTAGCAGCCAATTACAAATAATTAACGATGCCGTGGCATTAAATAATTTTTATAACTCTCTGCATTACTATACACATACATTTATTGTGGATAATTATTATGAATAAGCATAAACGCAAACTTTAATATACTTTGTTTGGTTTAATGGTGACATTTAAAATAAAATAAAGTCGTTGGTCTTGCATTTATGCGGATTTCCTCTTAATAAAATGCTAAATCCTACTTATACTTTCAACTTCATGGTCGCTGCACTCACGGCCACTTTCACGACTTTCGTTTACCCGTGTAATAACTCTACTAGTAGGTAATATAGCATATACAGCGACTCATTCTATTCTAGACCTGTCTGCTAGTTACTTCCGTATACAACTTCACTATTTTCTCATTTTTTTTTAAATTTCAATAATCACTATTTTAAATAAATAACTCGTTACTTTTTTGCCTGTTAATTCGAAAGTTTAAATTTAATTCAATTAATAATTAATAAGCAAGTTTTTTATTTCAAAAATTTAAGACCAAATTTATGATTTTGAACCAAAATAAAATAAATTATTCTCTTCCTTAGTCACGATAGATTTATTTTATACTGTGTTATATATTTCACTCGAAAGGTCTCAAAGTATAACGATAGCAAAGAAGACGACCTAAATGTGAAAGTAACGCCCTGAAGTATTACACAACAGTTCCAAAAATTGAGGTTGTGTCTGGTTTGGTATTACGTTCACGTTCTCTCTCGCTTTTTGCATAACAACTATATAATGTCTCGAAAAGTCATAGAGCCTATATATATATATATATATATATATATTCCGGAGAATATTTCGTACACTTGGGTTTATATTTACTGACATGAGTTTAAATTACACGAGCGGCACTTAACTGTGACCACTTTCCTCGATTATTCAACACCGAAACTTTCTCTTCATCATCTTGGCATCAGCGTGACTAACGATATTATAATAATGCTATATAATAACTAATACCTAATAGTGATGGTTAATAGTTAATATAATACAGTATCTCACACTCTTACTCACGTATTACGGGAAATAAGATTATTTTTTACTCTATTCATTATCTGTTACCTATTTTTAAACACGCGATTCGGATGTCCGATCTTTATTGCTTGCCGGATTTGGGTTAGTGTCAACAAACTCATGGAAGAAGAAATCAAATATTTTTTTTTTATTCTCTTCTAAAATTTTCTAAAAAAATTGACTTTTTCTTGGAGTAAAGCAAGCATTAAGTCTAAAATGATAAAATAATAAACTTGATAAAAAAAAACGTCTTGACTCAAAAAAATTACTTAAAAAAATTTTTTCTGTTTGAAATTTAAGAATTTTTTTTAGTCAATTTAGAATAATAAAATCATTTTATATAATTTTTTTCTATTCAATTAATTCCTTTAAATTCAAAGATAAAAAAACATTTGGAAAATTGAAATATTCACGATTCATAATTCTCATTAAATTTTTGAAAAAGAAATTTTTTTTTTTCGATCGTAGAGCACTCTCTAATGCTTCGCGTTATTAGTCGTGCAATATCAAACTTAGCCTTCAATTCTATTCCCTTAAAGATACAACAGAGCAATCCAATAAATACTTTTAATTGACAAAAAATTAGTAGTCAAATTGCGATAACCTTGCTTGGAATAGTACTTGTTTTAGTAACTAAGAAAGTAAAAGGTAACTTGCCTTGTGCTTATTTACTTTTTATCCTTTTTTACATAGTAATAATCATTCGTGTTTACTTTTTTTTAAACAGCCTATTGCAATATTTATTTGTATAAATAACAACTATTACTATGACATTAAGAAATCAAAAAATTGATATTCTGATAATTAAAAAAAAAAAAACTAGACTATTAATGATTATATGATTAAAAGTATATTTATACTTTATGATTGTTATATTGCGATGGTCTAATTGTTTTTTAAAAATTCACAGAGATACAAGTTTATCAACAATGGCGGAAGTTGCTTCAAGGTATCACTTTGCCGCACATATGGGTCAACTTATTGCCGGTATCGAAGGTCAAGGCTGCCATAACTTTTATCCTACGTGCCCGTTACCTCGTTCCAGTGTTCTCAGTATGATGAAAAAAATCCGTCTACGTTAACGATTGAATATTTATTTATTCGCCTACCAACCTGCCTATCTACCCTAACAAGGACATTAATTATAAAAAATACCTACTCTATTACTGAAAAAAAATATGATCCGCGGGTCATTTGATTGTGGTATCTGTGATACAATATTTAAATCATTAGGTGTAAATTTAATTTTAAAAATTACTTATAGAATTTGACATGTCAAATTTTGTTGTATTCCATTTATTTTTAATGTAATAAGTAATTGTATTATTATTGCCTTCGTTTAGTTATTAAGTGTGTTGTTTATTTGTAATTTATTATTAAGTTGATTGAGAAATTTTTTATTGTATTTTTGACAGAAACTAGCTTCGAAAATTTTATTTGTCGTATTAATTTGTGTATTTTTAATTATTATTAAATGATTTGTCGATTATGATTATATTTAAATAAAAAAATAATTTATAACTAGAGTTGTTATTATATTTAATGAAAAATTTTTTATTATTAAAGATTTTACTGATTTAAAAACTAGATTGTCATAAATATTATATTTTATTAATTTTATTTGATTTTGATCAAATTTTGTTAATTTTTATAAATGTTTTAATTTTTTTCACAAAATCGTTTAATAAAAGCATTTGAAACATTCCCCTAAAGTTAATTAATTAACTAAAAATATAAAGAATAATTTTTATGTCTAGAATATATACAAGATACATTGAAGTGAAACAAAATAATTAAAATATATTATAGAATACTTAATAATAAAAATATTATCAAGCTAAAATATGAAAATGCATCATTTAGCAAACGTATCACAATTTTTTAGATTTTTAAATAAATTAACTCATTATCAGTGGAGTAAAGTTTTTAAATTTTGTATAAAATCAGTTAAAAAATTTTTACATCCATTATGTCTGTATTAATTAATTTTTTAATATAAAGAATAATCATGGCTATAATTTTTAGCATCATAAAATAAATGAAATTTTCATTTATTTTTAAGAAAGAAATATTATCATCAGCTTTAAAGAAATTAGTTATTTATTTTGGTTAACAATTAAATAATGAGAAAACATTACACCAAAAGAAAAACTTTTTAAGTTATTTGATATTCTGATAATATTTCCGTATTAGTAATACAAACTCTACAAAATTATAATTTATTATATAAATCCAGGTCAATCCAAAACATATTCATTTTTGTAACGCATCTCTAAAATTCTTAATAAGACATTAATCAAAAATCCTAAAAGAATTTTTTATTCAACCCAAATTATATCACGCGTCAACAGCCAATTAAATAATTTTAGTCTATTCTCAAGGCCAAGAACAAAGACTGAGACCTCACAAAAACTCATGTCTCAATGTCTTACTCTTTTATACAAAATACATCTAACAAAACTATCTACAAAAAAGCGAAACAATTAATTAAACTTTATTAAAAAAACTTTCGTATATAACCCGAGCTCGCTTGAACTAAAAGGACCATAAGTTACTAAACTTACAAAAGTCCATCCTCTAAATTCGGTTTTATGTCTGGTCTCATGACAATTGGTATAAGTATAAGTATAAGTATATATCAAACTTTCAGCGTTTTTTTCTACAACTAATACAAAGTAAGTAAACGTAAATAATATTTTTAATTAAATATGAAGATTGTCTTGGTCATTTTCGTCCCGCAATTATTATTTAGCGTCATTTAAAATATCTGAGAACTCATTGACGTGCCAGAGACAAAAACATGAATTTCCGTAATTGTGTTGTGTCTTTACTTGTATTAGTAAGTATATGTATATACGTGTTTGTCACACAAATGAAAGAGGAAACTCTTTTGACCCCTATGTCCATCAAAGTTTTCCAATTATCCGAGCAATACTGTCCAGCATTTAGGTTGAATACTAGCTTTAACCTCCTACAGAGCAAGAGCATTTACCACTGATGAAATCCTCGCTCATTCAATTCCTACGGCATAATTGCAAATACTCACTGGCTATTGAGAGATTAACGATAACTCTGAATACTCTTAATACTATCTACTAAATTACAACTTACTCTTTAGTTATTGCCATCTTTCATTTTTATTTCGTCCTCGTCTTCATACTCATTATCATTATCATTATTATTATTATTATTATTATTATTATGATTATGATTATCATTACTGACCTCTAGCTCATAAAAAAAAATCTATGTATAGTAATAATTTCAATCCAGAGTGAGATTTGTTATATATTAATTATTTTAACATTGGTTGCATCACACTGTATTAAAAAATCTAGAATGAATTTTTTCTCCCCGAGTACCGGAGTGAAGAAATAAAACACTCCACATATGGAGTAGATCTGGAGTTTTTTTTTTCAGCAGATTTTTGTGTAGCGAGAGTAATACAATATATAATATGTACATATAACAGTTTATAATTATACCAAGCTTAATTCAAAATTCCGTGAGCCTTTAAGCCGATGAGCTTACGAGTTAATGCGTGTATATATATGTATGCATGTGCATGCAAATAATTTGAATTGCTGTATAGAAGTAGAGGCATTGCAATTGCTCTAATCAATCGGATTTTTATTCATCGTCTGTCACGGTAAGTGTGTTTACGTGATAGAAAGTTTTGTACCGATTCTCAGTAATTTGTACACTCGCGGAAACGACCAATCGATAACAATTACAAAATATATCCTTACATCAATATTAAAACGTCTAATTACATAATGTTGTAAGGTGTTTAACACACATCTAGGATATTGATTTCTCAAGTTATTTTAAATTCATACAGACACTTTTGTGACTAGTGTTACTGGAATTACGCGATTTACGAGAAATGTGACATCATTTTTAATCAATTGGTTTTTAATTTTTAATGTTTGTTTACTTTAAAGTAATAAGAATTTTTGGAAATAAAAATTTAATTTAAAATTAAGCTTTGATTGGAAAATAAATTTTCGGAGGAAAAATTATATTAAAAATAGCAATCTTGCAATCACTATGTGACTGCCGTGATTTGTGAACTACAAAAAATTAAATTTTTGTTTTATTAAATAATGACTTGGGTTAAATTGCACTGTACTTTTTTAACTATTGACATTTTTAAAGATATAAGCTCATCCCGATGTTAGGCGACTGCTTGGCCGAGCGGTTTAAGTCTTAAACTGCCGCACAGCAGTCGCTCAGGCGTGGGTTCGAGCCCTGGCAATTGCAATTTTTCTTCTGCGATTTCCGGGGCTTGCTCCCTTGCCGACTGTACCTTGACCAGGTTTCTGTGGTTTTTCCTCGGTCATTGTGCCCCTAAAATAAGCGGGGCACAGGCAAATGCGGGTACAGACTGTAAGCCGGCCACAGCCGCAAAAACGGAGGGTCCTGTTACAGGACTATATAGGAGGAATAGCTACAGGAGGAAATAGCTACAAGAGTAGCTTGGAGGGGGCCTGGTACTGCGAAGTAATGCTAACGCGGTCCCGCAGTACCAGGTACAAGAGAGGGGAGGGTTTTAGTGAGTAAGAATCTCACACTACCGGCAACCAACATCTCCAACATCTAACCGGTGTCTTGTGAAGATTTCCCTCCTCTCGCCCAAAAAAAAACACACACACACACACACAAGACGACTGCTTGGCCGAGCGGTTTAAGTCTTAGACTGCCGCACAGCAGTCGCTCAGGCGGGGGTTCGAGCCCTGGCAATTGCAATTTTTCTTCTGCAATTTCCGGGGCTTGCTCCCTTGCCGACTGTACCTTGACCAGATTTCTGTGGTTTTTCCTCGGTCATTGTACCCCTAAAATAAGCGGGGCACAGGCAAATGCGGGTAAAGACTGTAAGCCGGCCACAGCCGCAAAAAACGGAGGGTCCTGTTACAGGACTATATAGGAGGAATAGCTACAGGAGGAAATAGCTACAAGAGTAGCTTGGAGGGGGCCTGGTACTGCGAAGTAATGCTAACGCGGTCCCGCAGTATCAGGTACAAGAGAGGGGAGAGTTTTAGTGAGTAAGAATCTCACACTACCGGAAATCAATATCTCCAACATCTAGCCGATGTCTTATGAAGATTTCCCTCCTCTCGCC